TATTGTAAAAATTAAATTAACTTATCTCTTTTTCTTTAAAGGTGAATTATCTCGCGGCACAATGTGGACACACCTGTGGGGACACTGTTCGCCGAATTATGGCAAAGCTTGGGACAAACAAGCTGTGGTCCTTATTTAGTTTTAAAGGCCGGAAAGGAAAACAAGCTTTTAAAAGTTTGAAGTTGTGCAATATAATTATAAGTAAGTAATACTCATCATTCATTTGGTATATATAGTTAGCATTAAACGAAGATTGGAATATATGTAAAGCATGATATGGATTAACCAGCCCAATATTATAATAATATTTCTAGTCCTCTGCCCAGTTCTTTATAAATATTTGTATTATAACTGGCGAATATCAACCAATAAAAGATAGAATGAAGTTTTAATGTATAACAATGACTTTTCTCTTTTATTTTTAATTATTTTTATGAATTAAAATTATTTAAAATTCATTTAAATGCTCTGAAGATGTTGTATTGTGAAGAAGAAAACCAGTTAACTAATAGCTAGTGCAATCGCCTTACTAATAATATTGGTATTTTTTCAGAGGCCTGTATGAGGAGCCACCAGAAAGCCACCGAACTCAGTGTTGAAGAGCACATCTCAGAGACCCTGAAGCATGCTCCAAACAAGCCTGGTGGTTCAAGATATCGGGTAAATTTAGCATTTTGTTTACAGTGTAACCTACATTACTAAGTCATGATATACGTTCTGTGATATATCGTGTGCGTGTGTGTGCGTGTGTGCACGCATGCGTGTATATATTTAACAATTATTCACCGAAGTGGAGGTGAATGGTGCAAGAATAATCGCAGAGACGCGATGTTTTGGCACTACCCACCTCCCGAATATATGCCAAATCGTATACATCTAAATATTGTTTAATACGTTTTTGTTCATATAGGTCGTGGACGAGTCTCAAGAGAAAGAGAGAGATAATATTTAATAGGAATTATGTTTTGTTTTTAGACTTGTATAAATGTAGCATATGTCAGAATAAATTAAAGGATTTTATTTAAAATGCATTGTATGTGTCGTTTTAGTCAGTACGCTCCATGTTTCTTGTATCTTTTGGATAAACTTTCCATTTCGAGTCACAGCTAGATATATTAGATCAGTAAAAAGCGCATATTATACATACCGACATACAGTATATGTGTCCAATGATTTACTCTAACAGGCTTAGGTCTACATATGACAGCCATATACGATAGTAAATTGCAGAAAAGCTTTTTCTTGCATAAATAAATCAGTAACAAATTAAAGGATTGAAAAGACCCTTCCGACAATTGTTATCATGCTATTAATATCTTGCCGTACACAACGCGACAATATTTTTTTGCTGTCACGTAAAAATGACGTTGTGACAACGTTACAACACGATGTTTTCACAACATTTTCCCAACGTCATTTCACAACATTGTGACAACGTCATGTCAGAACGTTGTAGCAAAATGTTGCATTTAACTTAACCACAACGTTGTGACAACGTTTTCTGCTGTCTACAAATTTACGTTTTGACAACGTTTTATCACAACGTTTTGACAACGTAAGTCCAACGTTGTTACGACGTTGTTAAAACGTTAATGTGTTAGCTGGGTGGCAGCTTTTTGTGGCATGGCAACTAGCTCAATCGGACAAGCAAGATAAAACGTTTACTTGCCTGTCATGATATTTATTTGCCTTGGGGAAGTGTTAAGTGAAACCTCTGCAGGTATAAGTGGGTCCGCTTAGATTAAAACGTCAATATGATGTGTTGTGTGGCAACTTGATTCATGGATGTGTACTGAAGACAGTTAAAGTCCTTAGTTTGCTTGTTCAAACTTATGAGTATATTTATATAGTTACACCACCTGCATGATCTGCTTAATAATATATGTAACAACTTTGGGCTACATTTTATATATTTTACAGACACCTCGGCAAGGGTGTTGAGCATGTGTTTTTTTTAATTATACCCATGAGTCAATTTTCAGCAGTTTGTTAAATGTTATCTTCTCTAATGCCGGACAATTTTATTTGTCAAGGGAAGTGTCTAGCTAGACTGCCCATGTTTCATGTTGACATATTTAGATGCAATTTTCCCTAACACTACCTACTTAACTATTTTGATATTTAACTTTGATGTATGTCTCGCACAAGACAATTTTACTGATCGACTGTGGACTGCTTGCCCAAGTATCACCTATTTGTACCTAAAGTAATTATACAAGATATGTCAAACTGGATAGTTATATCCATAGGGGTTATAAAAGTCAAGTTCTCTTGCCTTTTATTGATATACAATATATTTTCCCACAACACAGCACTATATGTGCATCAATGTAGGATTTACAATTTTACATCAATGTTGGAATTGATTATATCATATTATATTATATTATATTATATTAGCCAAGTGAACATTATTTTGCATGACCCCTGTTTGATTTTAAAATAGGTTTAACTCTTCCTGGGTTAGATTCAACAAGTGTTCTAGTACTGTTGGCTTAATCTTATTCCAGCATTGATTAATAAAGACATCCCACAGGTTGTCTTCACTGTGGAGATCATGTTTCAGTTTCTCTCATTGCAAATGATCCCATAAATTCTCAATAGGATTTAGGTCCTGAGATTAGGGGTGCACCAGAACCAATTCCTTAAATTCTTGCAGGAACTGGAAAAAAGTTCTGGCTGGAAACTGATTTATTAAGCCACATATAGTCGTACGTTACTTTGTCTGCTGCCAGACAGTCAGATACTTCAAGTCATCAAGGAGAGTTTACTACTGGAAAAAAGTTCTGGCTGGAACCAGAACTGATTTATTAAGCCATATATAGTCATACATTACTTTGTCTGCTGCCAGACAGTCATATACTTCAAGTCATCCCTTACGAAAATGTTCTATAGAATATTACATTGAAATATTCTATGGAATATTCTATGAAATATTCTAAAGGATTTTGGAACCTATTCTATGGCATATTCTATGGGATAGTTTATGGGATATTCTAATGGATATTCATTTGAATTCTATAGAATATTCTATGAAATATTCTAAAGGATTTTGGAACCTATTCTATGGGATATTCTATGCAATATTCTATTGGACATTCAGTTGAATTCTATACAATATTCTATAGAATGCTCTATAAAAAATTCTATAGAAAGTTCTATGGAATATTATATGGAATATTCTACTGAATATTCTATGGCACATTCAGTTGAATTCTATACAATATTCTATAGAAGGTATGGAATATTCTATATAACATTCTGTATTAGATTCTTTAAGATTTATAAAAGTTTCTATTATGAAACATTTATTAAAACACAATTATCATTGTATAAAGAACTTGTTAAATTATTAACTAAACATTAGTGAAACAGCTAGTTAACCAATCAGAATTATATGTTTATAGCTACCATTGAACTACAGTAGGAAATGGGTATTTAAAAAGTAGTCAGCAGCTGCAAGATACAACTGCCTCATGCCTGGAAACAATTATAGCAATTTTATCACTTACACTTACATAAACTTTGCAGCAAAGTAATAAAATATCACTTACACAAACTTTGCAGCAAAGATTTCAATGTGCCTGGATTTCAATATTAAGTATGTAAAAACAGATGTAAATATCCAGGCTTAAATTAAAATTAAGTGCTGCCAACAGAACCAATGTACGTGGCATATTGTCCACAAAACAAAACAACTATGCAAGAATTTAAAAATAAACATTGGGCTAGTCAAACTGTTGTAGGATTACACTATTTACTGAATATTTTTATTAGAATAAGTGTCAATGTTACTGTTATGTGCAGATAATTTCTTTTTTTCACAATATTGTTAATCCTTGTGTTCATCATTGTTAATCCTTGTGGTCACCATTGATGCATATGGTCTTGAAGAAGAATACTGGCCATTTTGCAATAGTCGTAATTGCTCTTCCAAGTTGTAAACATATCTGTTAGGCATGGCATTACTATATAGAAATGAAAAATAAGTAAATTTTACTCATTACGTTTCATTGCATCTTACTTTATTATTTTACTCGGTCTAACACCAGACAACTTTACTCTTCAAGGGGAGAGCAGTTTTGTTCAATGGATTAACCCTTTCATGCACCCCGTATGCCCAACTTTAGTATTTACTGTCTAACGCTCACTCTATCTCATCGTCTGTGTAAATTTAGTATTTACTCTGTCAGACAATGTTACTCGTCAAGGGAAGAGTCTTGAACATTAATGGTTAACAAGGCATGTTAACCTGTTAACCCCATAAATAATAAATTTAACATTAAATAAATCTTAATTAACTCAATTAAACACATACCAGTTGCCACGGCCCAGTTTAAGGGTGTTTACAAGATCCAGACTGAATTGTCTGGCTTGGGGGGCCACTTTAGATAGGCC